GTTGAGGTTTTAGGATAAACCAAGAGTTCAATAAAGGAATTGTTAAATTCATTTACTATTGCCTTTTGTCATGTCTTCATATAGGCGTGATTGTGATATTGTCTTGTATTTAATTCGACAGATTGAATTAAATTTTATCGTTTAAGTTTACAGATACCAAGCCAACACCGCACCATGAAAATAAAATAATATTTTTCTTTTAGAATTCGTCTTACCTGGTCATACAACTTTATTATTTTTGCACTGATTCCAAATGTTTTCAGATGTGTTATTTAGTAAGCATGGGTGTTACCTCCTCTGCTCATTTTTTTTATAGCGAAGTTGGCTTCTTTTTAATAAATTAGCAACAAGTGCTTTTGATGATATTGCAAAATCCTTTTTACTTGTCGAACCATATTTTGGGGTTTTGGAGGTAGTTAGAGGTAGCCTCGATGAAAAGGAATTTTTATCTGTTTCATTGTCATTGCAAGACATAGCATATTAGGTTCTGTTTTAAGGGGCGTATTTAAATATTTTTATTTCTAGACCAGAATAGTTTTAATAATTATAGATCATGATTTATACAGTATGTTGTGCGTTAACTATCATTTTGCGTCATTAGATGATAGTTGACACACCTCAGATTACACATGTAACATGACAATTGACAAAAGAGGTATATTAGTAGACGTATTTTTTAGCATAGTTTTTTTTTAGACAATCACTACTGCATTTCTTTTTTATTTTAAACCATTTTTAAAAATGGAATACAATTTTTTTTAATACATAAGATAAAGAAATTTCATGATAGAGGGGTTACTTCAATTCAATAAATCAAATTAAACACGATACTTTTATTACAAACATGCATGGCAAAAGGTAATAGCAAATGAATTGATAATTTTCCTTTATTGAACTCTTGGTGTTATCCTAAAACCATCTTCAACTTAAGGGAAAATATTAATAATAAAATATATCTAATATAAATGATTAATAAATATATCTACTAAATAAACCATAACTAACAAATATAATAAATGTAAAGTAAATATCAACTATGTTAATGTTATACCGGTCAACTTTGTCAACTTAGTCAACTTTGTTAATTAGTCACGGGACTGACCGCAGACATAGGTCACGGCTTCAGATTTAAGGAGTTTGGTAGTATTATTACAGTCAAGTACATTTAATTTTCGATACCTTAGCAATCTTTCTAAGTCGTTAAATACATCCTTGTTGAGGACGAAATCGATAAACTTTCAACAGTATCATTGTAAAACGATGACGGATGTTTCATTAAAGTTTTGAATCAATCGAGATAGGTCCCCATGAAATGAATTATCTTCATTATTAATTTGATCATATTCTATTTTATTTTGTTTTTGCATTTAATTCATCAACTACTCTGTTAATAGACGAAGATTGTCTGGTTCACTGTCAAAATAAAATATTTAATGATCGAAATCATTGCTTAAATTTAAATTTATAATAATACATTACCTGTATAAATTGTTATATAATCTTTAGGTGTTTCAGGAATGATACTTTCTTTGAGTCTTTGTAAAATTTCTATTCTTCATCTTAAATTAAAAAAGTGATGTTACAGTATTGGCGTGCTGTTATGGGAAATATCAAGCGGTCGCCCTCATTGTCATTTTACTCCGTTTTTCAAATCTTTTAAAATAATTACACCAAAGACTTTTGATTGTTGTTTATTTGCTGCTTCAATGCTTTTCGATAAACCAAAGTCGACTAGTTTAATAATACCTTGATTAATACATTTCCCGAATGTTACAAATTTCTATTAATTCTAAACAGCAAGATTCCATCATAAACAAAATATGATATAAATATTATGTGAGATTACCAAATTGATGCACAATTTCTTTTTCACGACACATCAGCGCCAGCCAACTGGAATGCAAGCTCATATTTATGCCTATCAAAATTATTCTTCAAATAGTTTCAAAGTGCACCGCCATTGCCATATTCTATCACTAATTGAACATCTTTGATTTTCTAACTTTTTCATGTTTCAAAATATATAAATAAGTTAAAATTACAATGTAAAGGTATAAGTATATCCAAGATTTTATACCTTGATTTGATGCTGTAATCCCCAGAAAGCGGATGAAATTGACAATGAAAATCAACTTCCAGTTGATGTTCAAGCTAAATTATTAAGAATATAAATTTTATAATAAATTAACTGAAAAAAATATTGAAATTGTAATTACCTTACGAATAAGTCCTTTCAAAGTAACATTGTTTATGTAATGAAATGTTTTTAAAGCGAGGTATTGCTTTGAACTTTTCCAATTTGCAAGATAGACTTTTCCCAAAGCAGCCTGTACCAATCTTTTGAAATTGCTAAAATGTTTGTATTTTATATCTTTGCTTGAAATATATTCTTCAATACACGCGTTTGAATTATGCGAGTTTGCCTTTGTTTATTTTATTTTTTTAAATGAAAAATATTTTTGGAGAAAAAAAAATGCACACGGTAGATCATGCAACATTTACCAAATTTCTAAGCCACAGGTCATTGTAAGGTTATATTTATTTCCTTAAAAAAATAACTCCTCCATTTTTTACATGAAAAGCATTTTTTAAATCGATAAAATGTTTTAGTTTTTTCGAGAATAGCATTTTCAACACGCTTAAGATTGAATAAGTTGATTTCATTCAACTTTCACAACGATATCAAAGTAAAGGATTTCTTGTTCAAGTCAATTGAGATGTATTAATAAGAAACAAATTTTAAAAATGTTAAGCAATTTTGTTATTCCTAATAAAATAATTCTCACCGTGAGAATTATTTAAATATTTTAACCTTGATTTTCCATTTTTGCCGCCGCTAAACAATTTAAGTTAAATTTGATGATCAATGCAACACCAACGCCAATGATAACGCAAATGCCAAAGCCAAAACCAATCGGATGTCGATCAATTTATCAAAGAAAGAACAATTTGATCGTCACTAAGCGATAACGTTGGTTAGTTTGTGGATGTTTCTTTCTTAATAACAAACTTCAGAAATATGATATTTTAATTAATTTTTCAAACGACATTTTGGTAGTAATTTTGTAATTTATTCCATATCATTTTTTTACTTTTGATAATATTTCTGTCAGAAATATTGTATCAGGCGTCATTTAAGAAATAATACGATAAAAGAGAATAAAAGAAGTATAATAATAGTATACTTTCTCATGACAAATTACGAATTGTTTGTGTAAATTCAAAAAATTTGTTGTTACCAATTGTCTCCAATTAGACATATTTGAAATACGCCCCCGTTTGGAATTTTTAATTAATTTTCGAATACAACAAAAAAAAAATAATGTGCGAATTTATTAAACCTAAAATAAGATTGTAAACACGGGTTTATGAAACACGGTCATGTGATATATAAACTTATTATGTAGGGTAGAGTTAGTTATACAGATTAAGTTGCTATTTATCACATAGCATCATATAATAAACTAATTAATTTGAGAAAGAAAAATTTTGATGATTAAAGATTATTTTCACTACACTTATGTTTCACATAACGTTCATGTACAAATAAAATTCTCGAAAATAAAAATATACAATTAAATATTACGATACCAATAATTATTTATAGTTTAATTTGATTAAAACTCTTATTAATTAAGGAGTTAAGGCTTTGAATTACTATAAAAGAATTCTAATAATGTAATATTATTCATAATTTATTGTATTTTTATCTCGTCACCTTGACATTAAAGTTTTCATGTCTAATATTAAACTTGAAACTAGTTTAAGATCTTGTTAATTCTGAAATTAGATAAACAATGATGATTTTAAATTACTTAATACGGAATATCATTTATAATTACATATCTTTTAAAAATTAATTCCTAAATTAGGTGAATGGCTTCATAACTATAAATAATTTTTTTTCTGGAATTTCATTATCCGGAACTAGAATTACTTATTTTTTTTTGATAATATTATGCGTTAATATCAATAAAATTTTGATTTTATTAATATAACAATAATAAATGTTCTGGACTGTTCTAAAACGTAAAAGAAAAAAAGCTTTTTCTCTATAAATTGAACAATATTTCAAACTCACTTCAAAATTTAAGTAATTTACAAAATGAAATTCATAACAAAAATCAATCTTTTGCTCCTTTTAATTTTAGTAATACTTTTGATTCCTCTCAAAAGGTAAGAAAGAATTAAAAAATTCATTAATCTTCAAGAATTATAATTATTTAAAAATATTTTTAAATTTCATATAGTACGCCTTTAGCTAAAGGGTAAGTTATTATTTTCAAATATTATT